AAGGCCTTGCGGTCGGGCCTGGCCACACACAGGTGGCCAATGAGATTATAACACACACAGGAAACTCCACAGTGATGCTAGGTGACCAACTGAATTATAATTTACCCTAGCAGACATTTGAAATAGCCTATCACACCTTGGTTAGGATTGGCACCAAAAAGGCTCCCAAAGGACGGGGGGGCCCATACTCCTTGGTAGCTAGGGAGATAGTATGCAACCCCCCACTGATCGATGTCTCCACCTGGCCTGACCCACCCTTGTATCTGGGCTTTATTACCTGGAGCTGGTTTCTGGGACTTGTTTTTAAATAAATCACCTGGGGGAAGGGAAGCAGGGACAGTTTAAGGGTTAAACACATTATTGTTTTAACCTTGATGGAAGCCTCTAGCTAAATAGGTCCTTACAGTGCTCACCACACCTGGCACTCCCAGCTGTCGCCATCCAACACTATTCTGATATCAAGGCCTGTATTCCCCATGCTGTGCCTCCCCCCACCCAAATTTTTGATTGATTGATTGCTTGATTGTGAATGCTGTGCATTTCATCCCTGTGACTTAGTCCTTCTGTAACTGGAAGCCTGTACCTCCCACTTCCCTTCACCCATTTTGCCCATCCCCTCATCCTCCTCCCTTCAAAACCTGTTTTTAAGATTTTGGGGGGCGCCTGGGTGGCTCAGTGGTGAAGCATCTGCCTTCAGCTCAGGTCATGATGCCAGGGTCCTGGGATCAGGTCCTGGAATTGAACCCCACATCAGGCTCCATGCTCAGCAGGAAGCCTGCTTCTCTCTCTCTCCCACTCCCATTGCTTGTGTTCCCTCTCTTGCTGTGTTTCTGTGTCAAGTAAATAAATAAAATATTTTTTAAAGATTTTATTTGAGAGGAAGAGCGTGCCTGTGCGCCTGTGTGGGCAGGAGCAGGGGGAAGGGACAGAGGGAGAAGCTGGCTCCCCACTAAGCAGGGAACCCCAAGTTGGGCTCCATCCTTTTCCCTGAGCCGAAGGCAGAAGCTTAACTGAGCCACCCAGGCGCCCACTCAAAACCTGTTTTCATCAGTAGTTAGAGCCCTGTTTCCTAGCAGACCTTTAGTCCAAGAATTTAACAAGTGAAAAGCTCAACAACCGAAGGAGTAAAACTGATCTGTACATCCCCTTGTTTTTCTTGAGAAGGCAGGAGTTTTCTGAGCCGTTTCTAGTCACTGCCCTGGTCCCCTCTCATGACTGTGGGCCACTAGTGCAAAACATCTGGCAGGAAATGGGGTCACAGTGTGCTGCATTGGAGCGGACTTGCATCTGTCCAGGGTAAACTGGACAGTGGAGAGAATCCAACTCGCATACTGGCGTCTGGGGACTCTGCTTTAGCCAATCAGTGACTGGCCAAATGATCTCATTTGAATTTTATCTTCTTCCCTTCCTCCTTACTCCCCCTCACCCCCCCCCCCCCCCCCCCCCCCGTGGAGATGTGAATGAGAAAAACAAAAGGGCAAGCACAAATCGCCAGAGACAAAAAGACAAAGCCCGAAAGCTCTTAAATACGTACTGATGTATAAAATCTATAAGAGAATCCAGGAAACGCGTTCTGACTTTATTGCCTCATTTTTATCTTGCTTTTAAAACCTGGATGGCACCAGCAAACCACAGATGGCAGGAACCAGTAAGCAAGTAATTTGTCTTTTCCAAAATGCCGTGCACCTCCATTCTGTTGGAATAGATGTTGTAAGTGTGCATTGAGCTGGAATAAAGAGACTGCCATTTGGGTTGAGAAACTAATCTGGGGAGATTCCATAAAATGGAGATTCAGGTGGACTGAAAATATTAATTGATGCAGGAAGTTCCTAAAAGATATTGATAAGTTTTGAGTAAGGACAGGTGGAGGTTTCAGCATGACAGATTACTGGAATGACATCTTTGACAATCATCTTCTACTGAGGCATCAAGTCCTTTGACCAGCCCTCAGCTGACATCTGTGCAGTCAGTAGATGACAAAAAGAAAAAGAAAACAAAGAAACTGAAAACCACACAGTCAGAAAGCCAGTAGATGCCAAGTAAACTGGCGCTGAACCCCTTCCCTGGCACTGAGATGAAAATGACATTAGACATTAACACAGATCAAAGGGTAGAGGAGTTTATATCCCGTAGCCCTCTGGCGTGGGACGGTTTATCAGCTTGGATGTCAGTCTCCTAGAGGGACCAGTATCGCGTATACTGTTTGGCTGAGGAAGTATATTTAGAAATCTAAAAATATTTGTCTGTGGTTATTGAAATGAGACCTAACTGGCTTATTATGAAGGTAGTGAAATGTGTCAGACTCACTTAAGTATTTATTCATGCTTAGTTTGTGCTCAGCCCTTTGCTTCTGGTTCTGGGTGGTACTAAGTTTGACATGGACCCTGGATCTCGGTAAAAGGGGAGAAATGCTAGAAGCCCTCCGAATTGACCTCCACTCACCTAGAATGAACTGGACTGAGTAGTGTGTTCCTTCCATGAGGAATACCTTGCGTGAGGTGCTTTGAACACCCAGGATAACGGGCAACCTTGGTCTGCTTGCCCATTGCTACTCCCTGCAACCAAATTGAACTTTAAAGGCAGTTGTGATTGCAATGAGGCACTTTAATTAAGCAATATGTAAATTTTAACGAAGTAGGTATCAAAAGAGTTGGGCTCAGTTGGCTAAGCGTCTCTCTTCAGCTCAAGTCCTGATCCAGGTCCTGGGACCGAGCCCCAAGGTCAGGTTCCCTGCTCAGCAGGGAGCCTGCTTCTCCCTCTCCCTCTGCCTCTTCCCCTCCCCATCACTCCCCATTCCTGCGGTCTTTCAAAGAAATAAAATCTTTAAAAAAAAAAAAAAAAAAAAGTCGGTATTTTTAGAACTCAGCCAAATGCTTGGTAAAAGTGAATTGCTAAAAAAGAGCTTTTGAAAGAAAGAGAATGGGGGCAACTAGTAATCTAGAAGGATTTCAGTGGTTGCAGTCATGTAGCTTTCGAGAGACAGGGCTTCAGTCCAATCAGCTGACCCACCTTGACTGTATTTCTAAAAATTGGCAAGTGTATGCACATTTGCGCTTTAATTTAAAATGTCGGAGGCAGTCGACTGTCTTTTCCAGTTAATGATCCTGATTGCATCAGATAAGGGGGCTTCGGCTGTACATACACAATTGAGGAAATCAGACTCTAGTGGAAGTGCCATCACCGGCACAGGCGTCCTTGTAGAGACAAGAGAAAGGAAATCGGGCATATGGGGGAAAGTTGACCAGCGATTAATCACACACTGAAATCGCGGCACTAACTTGAAAATATGTGTTAAAGTATTTTGCCCTTTCAGGACTGTTTCGGCAAACCAAACTATTTGCAGTTCAATTGTTTTCCAGTACATCTTCCTTCACTGCCCTCTTAGAGTCAACATTCTTGGCGAAGCTTCTCAATGGAAACTATTTAGTATCTGATTTGGCTCTGGTATAATTGAAAGTAGTCAAACACAATAAAGTATATTTTCTTTGCGACTAATTTTAGGTTCAGGAGATAACCAGGTGGGTGAAATAGCATAGAAACGATAAGATGACAAAAGCAGTCTTTGTTTTTGGGGATCCTGTTTTAAACGTTTCCTAAAACAATATAGAAGCTTAAGGTACAGTTAGAATGACCTGGAAACCTGACTCCAGCATCTACAACGAAGGTCAGCCATAAGCTTATGGCTTCAGAATCAGCACTATGATTCCTCCCCTTGAGCGGCAAAGAGGGTGGGCGGAAATGGTGTTCCACATAAAGTGACGATTGGCGTTCTTAGGAAAACATGAACTCTTTGTTTCCAATTTCATGTTTGCTCATAGACCCGGGAACACCATAGTCAAGTGAGCTCCCTTGCGAGGAGGTGCAGAGGAACCCAGTTCTGCATTAGTGGAGAGTTGTCCCTCGCCAGCCCACTCCATAACGACAGGAGACGGGCTGTAGAAGTTGTTGGGGCTTCTGTTCGGTGGGACATTCTGAAATGTTCCCTCTAAAATGAGGGGCCAGGAATAGATCTTGTGGGTAATGTATTTGGGTGTTTTGTATGAAGGAGTTGAAGATAAAAGACATGGTCCATTGCTCAGGGTGCTCAGTAAAGCACCCTTAATCAAATGCTTCTTCATCACACAGTTAAAGATATTACCCAGTTCTAAGTGAGATGATTCTTAGACTCCCAGACCTCTGTTCTATTGCCAAATCCATGCATGAGTAGAAAGTCCGCGGTGGCCTCTCGCTCACTTCCATGGCCCCTGCTGACCTAAATCTTGGATAGAGAAAGGACCTTTTGTGGTGCATTGGGGCAACTGTCGCTGGCTGGCTGGAGGGGGCCAATCGTGCACCTCTTCCCTGACCTCACACCTCACATTGGTAACTTGAAATTAGCCACAGTGGGAGCCTTTACACCACGGAAATGAGCACGTGCTACAAATTGGGTTCATTCTCCCACTCCTCCCGGAAAGCCAGTTTTTTTTTTTTTTTTTCAGTTAAACATTTTATTCAGTAATTCTATTTCAAATTTACATTAATCCTTTCTTTTTCTCAAATTACTTTTTTTAATGCCTTTTTAAAATTGACATATAATGTATTATTTGTCTACGGGGTACAGGTCTGTGACTCATCAGGCTTACACAATTCACAGCACTCACCATAGCACATACCCTCCCCAATGTCCATCACCCAGCCACCCCATCCCTACCCGTCCACCCCCCAGCAACCCTCAGTTTGTTTTGTGAGATTAAGAGTCTCTTATGGGGGTGCCTGGGTGGCTCAGTGGGTTAAAGCCTCTGCCTTTGGCTCAGGTCATGATCCCGGAGTCCTGGGATAGAGCCCCAAATCGGGCTCTCTGCTCGGCAGGGAGCCTGCTTCCTCCTCTATTTCTGTGCCTGCCTGTCTGCCTGCTTGTGATCTCTGTCAAATAAACAAACAAACAAACAAACTTAAAAAAAAAAGGAGTCTCTTATGGTTTGTCTCCCTCCAGATCCCATCTTGTTTCATTTTTTCCTTCCCTACTCCCCAAGCCCCCCACCCTGCCTCTCAAATTCCTCATATCAGTGAGATCATATGATAATTGTCTTTCACTGATTGACTTACTTCACTTAGCATAATACCCTCTAGTTCCATCCACATTGCTGCAAATGGCATGATTTCACTTTTGACGGCTGCATAGTATTCCATTGTGTGTGTGTGTGTGTGTGTGTGTGTGTGTGTGTGTGTGTGTACACACTACTTCTTTATCCATTCATCTGTTGATGGACATCTAGGTTCTTTCCATAGTTTGGCTACTGTGGACGTTGCTGCTATAAACATTCAGGTGCACGTGCCCCTTCAGATCACTACATTTGTATCTTTAGTGTAAATACCCAGTAGTACGACTGCTGTGTCGTAGGGTAGCTCTATTTTCAACTTTTTGAGGAACCTCCATGCTGTTCTCCAGAGTGGCTGCACCAGCTTGCATTCCCACCAACAGTGTAGGAATGTTCCCCTTTCTCCACATCCTCGCCAACATCTGTTATTTCCTGACTTGTTAATTTTAGCCATTCTGACTGGTGTGAGGTGGTATCTCACTGTGGTTTTTTTTTTAATTTTTTAAAAAGATCTTATTTATTTATTTGACAGAGATCACAAGTAGGCAGAGAGGCAGGCAGAGAGGCAGGGGGAGGCAGGCTCCCTGCTGAGCAGAGAGCCCAATACAGGGCTCGATCCCGGGACCCTGGGATCATGACCTGAGCCGAAAGCAGAGGCTTAACCCACTGAGCCACCCAGGTGCCCCTCACTGTGGTTTTTATTTGTATTTCCCTGATGCCCAGCGACGTTGAGCACTGTTTCATGCATCTGTTGGCCATTTGGATGTCTTCTTTGCAGAAATGACTGTTCATGTCTTCTGCCCATTTCTTGATTGGATTATTTGTTCTTTGAGTGTTGAGTTTGATAAGTTCTTTATAGATTTTGGATATTAGCCCTTTATCTGAAATCTAGTGTTAAACATTGACTAACACACCCCTTCTTCTGGGACAGAGGTTCTTAATCTTATTTTGTGCCATGGACCCTTTTGTCATTTGCCAAGTCTCTACCTCTTGAACAGTGTTGTTGTTGCTGTTTTTAATTCAATGAAACCATTAAAATGTTAGAAGCAGAAGTTTGCAGTAGAGTTCTAGGTGTGCTTCTTGGATGACATCTGAAAGAACACTATGGAGCAGTAGCTCTACTCTATGTTCTCAGCACTGATTCCCATGAAGGGTGTTTTGAGATGGCCGTGGCACTGTAACAGGAGGGGAAAACACCTGTGATCTCTACTGGAGATGGAGTCAGCGGCCCAGCCAATACCACAGTGGTCGTTGGCTACATTCATGACCAAAGGAAAGACCGAATCTCAGCTCCATGTTCATGAAAAGAAAGTTTTTGTCTGCCTTCCAGCGATTGCTCTGAGTTCTAGCCATGGGTCCCGGGACTGCACTGAGCCCAGGTTAAGGACTCTTGCTTGGGGCGGGGATCGGGAGGCGCCTGGGTAGCTCAGTGGGTTAAGCCTCTGCCTTTGGCTCAGGTCATGATCTCAGGGTCCTGGGATCGATCCCTGCATTGGGCTCCCTGCTCAGCAGGGAGCCTGCTTCCCCCTCCTTCTCTCTGCCTGCCTCTCTGCCTACTCGTGATCTCTGAAATATAAATAAATAAAAATCTTAAAAAAAAGAACTTTCGGTTGGTTAGAATCCTATTTCACATTTGCAAGCATCAAAATGAGCCTTGTTGCTCACATGGGTAATCTCCAAAGTGGAGGTAGAAGGGAGGCTTTCCCTCGGAAAAAAAAAAATTACTATGTTTGGGCTCCAGTATTCACAAAATTCACAAATTATGTGTCTGTTTATATAATAATTCCTCAAGCTGTTGTTTTCATTTAAATAAGCATATCCTAATTGATTATTCAGCTTTAGCTTTAACATGTCAGGGGGGTGCCCAGATTTATGTCTCCAACTGTCCTTAAGGTGTATCCCTCTTAGGCGTCTCTATGGGCTTCTCTTCCTGCTTGGAACCTTCTCTCTGTTGTCTGTTTGCATGTCTTGGTTTTTTTACCCAACTGAAAGAACCAGCCCAAATCCCAGCCTCCTGTCTCCAGCCTCCTGTGACTATTCCAGCCCATGTGGCTTCTCCAGTCCCTACCCTTGTGCAAAAGCACTGCTGTCATCTGGTCGCTGTGTTATCACGTTCCTAGCGAGGATCCTATTGGTCTCCTCTCTCCCACTGTTGCCAAGTCCTTTAGATTCTTTCTTAACTCCGCCTCGAAAATCCATCCCACTCTCTTAGTTCACACTGTACTTGATTTTCTTCTTTTTTTTTAAAAGATTTTATTTATCCATTTGAGGTGGGGAGAATGCACATGTGTGCACACAAGATGGGGGTAGGGGCAGAAGGAGAGGGTGAGGGAAAAGGACCAGTAGACACCCCACTGAGCATGGAGCCTGACACGGGGCTTGATCCCAGGACCCTGAGATCCGGACCTGAGCCAAAGTCAGCAGTGTAACCAACTGAGCCTGCCAGGTGCCCCCAGACCGTAATTCATTTCATTGAGACTGTGACAGTAAGCCCCTAACAGGTCATCCTAATTTCATTCTTGCCTCCTCAGTCTATTCTATGCTCTGCTCCCAGAGTTATGTCCCCAAGACACAGATCTGACCATTTCACACCCCACTCTGTCCTCAGAGGCCCCCCACTTTATGTGGATAAGCATGGCTTCCAAATCTTTTCTTGATCTGAAGCCGGTCTCCATTTCCATCATTCTTCCCAAAGGAATGTCACAGCAGTAGTGGACGGGTCACGCTTCCCCTAGAGATGTCCTGCATGTTCCCCACACCTCAGCTTCGCCCAGGCTGTTTTCTTATCTAGAATGCCCTATCCCCTAGCTTTACATGGTGTAGATCTCTGTAGTCCTGCAAAGCTCTGTTCAAGTCAATTCCTCCATGACAAATCCTTAGGGCCCTTAGACCTGAGTTAGCCCCTACAGCCCTGTTCTCTCATTGAACTTTGCTCATTATTTTACTGTTGTACTAGGACACAATTTCATTTGTATTTCATCTGTCGGTCTCATTATAGAAGGGGTAGGAACGTAGCCATCCTGAAGACATACTCCCCAACATAGCCTTTAGAACAGAGCCTTGTTCATAGTGCAGTCGCTATCCCACTTATTTATTTTTCAAGGGAGTTACTCTCTGATTCTTTTATGAAAATATATTTAGTTCCTCCCAATGAGATTTGAGTTACTTGTGTAAAAGGAGCCTGAGAGGTGCCCAGCTGGCTCATTGAGTAGAGTTTGCGACTCTTGCTTCTCAGGATCATGAGTTCCATCGAGCCCCATGTTGGGCGTGGAGCTTACTTAAAAAAAAAAAAAAAAGGAATTGGCTTTGATCTTCTTTGGATTTTCTCATAGAACTAGGCACTTATGGGTGTTCCATAAATACTTGTTGGCAGGAATTAATGATAGCATTTACTAATTTTCCCAAGTATGCTTAATTCCTAGGAGGTGTGTATAATTTGCTCAAGGAAGCATTCTTATTAGCATGTAATGCCCAAGACTTTGCTTATAAATTGAACTGTTAGGCCTGCCACCAAGAGTGTAAGTGGAAACATGATGCGGGATTCACCTCCTTGTTTTTTCTGCATTGGAAACCAGCCAGTTTCAGACTTTAGTACTTACAGGTATAATAAACCAAGAGATTTACGGAGACTCCTAAGTCTCTTAAGTCTGAGGTTGAGACAAATATTACAGTGCTATGGAGTTAACCACGTTTGTAACCATGTGATAAATGTACTATAAAGAACGTTTGATTTCATGGGTCATCTTCTTTGTAGGACCTGAGGATGCACAACAGAAAATAGCACCTCATCACACAGCAGTGCTGGGGGAAGGTGACAATGTCCAGGTGGAGAACAAGGTAAGTATTAAAAATCGGTAATTTTCTTAAATTGTACTTTCTACTGGTTTACAGGTAAATGCCCGTCTCCAGTGCAGCTGGAAAATTTTCTCTCTTCCCTCGGCAAGGAAACTATGCCACAAGTTTATTGTCCCCTTTCATTAACCTCTGCTATTTCTGTTTTTAAAGATTTTATTTATTTATTTGTCAGAGAGAGAGAGAGAGAGCGCACAAGCAGGCAAAGTGGCAGGCAGAGGCAGAGAGAGAAGCAGGCTCCCCACTGAGCAAGGTGGCTGATGTGGGACTCAATCCCAGGACCCTGGGATCATGACCTGAGCCAAAGGCAGTGGCTTAACCAACTGAGCCACCCAGGCGTCCTAACCTCTACTATTTCTATCAATTTATTTTAAGGTTTTCTCTATACCCATTGCTCGTCTTCAGAACTCACCTGAAGTCTTTCTTTTTTACCACTAGACATGTGAATCTGGAGGCAACATGTCTTCCTTGTCTCTTAATTTTCTTTCTTTAGACCCTTGATTGATTTCATTTTTAGTCAAAGTGAAAATGGATCAGCCCCCTAGGAGTATAAATACAGATCTCCATGCTTACTCACAGAGAGCCCTTTGCAAGTCAGCCCCATTTCGAACCAAGAAGAGCATATGATGCATTTTGTCCCTTTTGGGTCCAACCCCTGCTTCTTAGGTAGAGTTTCTGCTATTTTAGGAGTCTCGGGAGCTTCTATCCCCAGATTGTCAGTTTCTTCCCTGGGTCTCTTTCATTGCATTGGGTGATTCTGTCACTCTCTTGTGAGCCTGCTAAGCCAACCCCGTGGCTTTGTGTCCTTCTCATAAAGAGGATTGAAGAGACAATTGTGCAAAAGCTCCCAAAAAGGTGAATTTTGCAAAGTAGGGATGAAAACTACTTCAGTGTGCAGGTGACTGGTGGAGAGACAGGCTGACTGCTGTGAGGCACTCTGCCCCTGGGGTTGTAGAATGCAGTGGATTTGAAGAATTACTACATCCTTGCCCACTTTTCTGGCAGCTCACCTACTGCGGCTTTAGTCACCCAAGGCACTACCATGAAATAGGAAGCAAATAGAAGAAAATTCTCCTGGGCGCCAGAGAAAATGCAGATCTTGGGGTCCGTGCCCTCTCTTATTAGGTTGAACTGTTTGAAACTGCTACTTTGGACCTACAGAAATGGCAGTTTCCTCTGTGCCGACCCCAGGCAGGAAAGAGGCATGGAAGCTACACAGAGGCCAGAACCTCCTGATAGTGGATTTGTTTGTAACATTATCTGATTTTAACTTGACACCATTGTTCCTCCTATAATCTAGCAGAGGGCACATTGCAAATGAGAAGGGCTCCAGAAGCTGGAATGAACCACCAGAAAGATTTGCAGTAGAGCTGGGGGGTGGGGGGCAGCCAGAAAGGCGGGAGGCAGCTGGGAGAGCCAAGGAGCACCATCCTGTCATGGGCATTTCTGTCGATATCGCTCTGTATGAGCACAGCGGAGCTGGCGATGCAGGAGACCAATTTCAATGAAAAAAAAAAAAAAAGAATTTAAGAAAACAAGAATTAATGGGTATGTCATGCTTATGTCCATGTATAGCAGCAAGTCCCCCTAGATTAGGAGGGAGAAGAGATAGTGACCTTGCCACTTGTTAGCCGTGTGACTGTGGGCGGGTTGCTCCACTTCTGAGATTCAGTTTCTCTGGCTGTGAAACCGAAATAATGATGCCATGCACAGGGGGTCTAGCACAGGGTAAGTTCTGCCCAATAGGCCAAATTCAAACCTGGCTCTGTAAATAAAGTTTTGTCGGAGCACAGCCATACACGTCCCTTTCTGTTTGTCTGTGGATGTTTTCAAACCACAATGGTAGATTGGAGTGTTTGTCCCAGAGACTGGGTGACGCACAAAACCCAAGGTACTTCTCCTCTGGTTCTTTACCAGGGAAAGTGTGCTAATAATGCCTGATCTAGTACCTAGCAGCTGCCCAGTAATGGTAGCTAGAAAGTTCACTGAGCTAAACGCCTAATTGAAAAGATCGTCATGTCAGATACGTGTTACCTAATGAGGATTCATACTTGAGGCCTGTGGGTTCAGGGCATATAACAGTTTCTAGAGCTCGAAAAAGCCTCTGAAGTATCCTGATTCACTCCATGGCCCCAGCTCAGGGTTATCTGCACTTGGAACTAAGCCTGAGGATTAGAGAAGGAAGATGTGACTTCGTAATGCTCCCCGTAGTCCCCTTGGCACTGAGCTGTGGCCAAGAATAAGGATTCGGTATGCTCCCTGGCTTCCGTCTAGCCCTTTCAGTACTCCTTACTTCCACAGTCAAGCCTGTCTTCCTGGTTAACTAGTGGTAATGGGCAGTTTCCTCTAGAGTGGCCAGTCGTCTGGGGCAGGAGAGGGGGGTGGCCCCAAAGATGATGCAGGTCGCGTCTGTTCCCAGCTATCCTGCTCCATCTAGCATTTGACCTGCCTTAGATCGATACATTTTCGGCTTCAGGGGCCCCCGTCGTCTTGCACAGGGGGTTGTCCTCCGTGACTATTACTCTGAAGTCCTCTCTGGCAGGTAGCAACTGCAGGGGGCTTGGTTTATGCCAGATTTCAGAGTCTTTAAGCCAGAACTTTGACTTCTTCGAGGAAGCCCAAACTCCCCAACAGTGGCTTCAAAATAGTCTTAATTTTTTCAGAGTTCTTAGAGATTGGGATCAACCCCATGCCACTCTGGGCATTTAATCCTGGACTGTACTGATGACCCTGAAATGGTCTCTGTTTCAGGAGCTCAGGCTCCCCTTGCGGCTCTGGCCCACAGTGGGTGCTCTGGATGCCAGGATGGCTCCCTGACCAGGAGCACATCGGTTTGATATGAAAGGCTCGATGTCACCTTTAGACACATGTTTATATTGATGTCCTACTGAGAAAGCCTTAAGCCTCATGGATCAGCCGATTCACTTGTAGTTTAAGGTAGACAATCAGTTCTTCTTTGGCCGCTCCCAAAACAATAGGTGAGGGTCACGATAATTTTTAACTGCCACCATTCATGGGGAACTCAGTAACTGATTAAGATGAACATTTTGATTCAAATATAGATCGAAAGGCAGAATAAAACACTCTATTAAAGATAGAGACCATTTTTTTCGCTTATTTATGGGTAAAAATTCATAACCATTTATTTTTTTAAAAAAACTGGTAGTAGTTCATTCTCTTACCTTTCAATTGGCCTACAAGGTGTGAACAGTGAAATCCAGTAAGAACAATTGCATGCAATTAAGTCGTGCTAAAGCACAGTTTCTTCCTGGTGATTGTTTTCAGGTAATGTAGCACTATGATAGGTGTCCTTAAACCAAAAGCGTGCCCTTAGATTCATTCTCAGAGTCCTACTGCCATCTCAAGCTTCAGAATCAGACTGGGAGTCCATACTGCTCATAGCTGGGAAGCTGTCCACACCTCCAGTAAATCGTAGGGCCTTCACCTGGGCGTTGATCATTTATCGTTGGTATCATTGGAACTCTGGATTTTTCTTAGGAATAGAATTTATGGAATAACAAGAGCAATTTGTAAAAGGAAATTATTCATGGAAACCCAGGAGGGCCTAACTCTGAACTAAGAACTCTGAGAAGATTGACTGAAGTCAGAGACATATATGGCCTGGGCCAGAAGAGACCATGACCTTCAGGTGGGGAAATTATACCTGAAGCAGTACGTTGGCCCCCGTTACCTTTATATGGGGTCTTTTCATCAAGCCCTAAAAGGCATTTACTGAGATCCTCACAGGGACCCATGTCTGAAACAGCTCTCCATTTTCTTTCCTTGTGCGTGATTTTCATCATTGGACGGTATGCCCAAGGTCACTGTAGATGAGGACTTTTGAAGGTCATAGCAGTTGGGACTTTTAACCATATCAGCACTCTACTGAAGATCCAGAAAGATGATTAGCTTTCTCCAAAGAAGGCTAAGTAGGGAAAGAAAAAAAGATATATTTAAGGAACAAGAAAAGGACATCAGACATCTGGCTTAGGATAGAGGAGAAGGGGCTACTGAGAGGTTAATTTAGTGGAAAGGTCATGAAAAGAAGCGTGGACCATCATTCAGGTTTCTGAAATGGGAATCCAAACTCCTTGCCTCCTTAACACCCAGCAGTGAAATCATCTTTCATTTCACACCGGCTGTAAGTGTCCCTTTATTTTACTATCCAAATTAGAAATAGAAAGTCATCATTTGATCTAATATGAAAAGAAGCAAAACTCTTATTTTTAAACTTGACCATCATTTCTAAATGTGTAAACTGGGGATATTTTGTCATTCACAAAAGGTACGCCTTCTGAATTAAGAAACTGACATTCTTGGGGCACCTGGCTGGTTCAGTGGGTGGAGTGTGTGACTCTTGACCTTGGGGTTAGAAGTTTGAGCCCTAAACATGTCTATTTCTGAATGTCACATTAGGAATAATTTGAAGCTGACGTGCTGGCCACATGGACGATGTTCCTAATTCCAAATATAATAAATTCCAAAAATATTTTCTGTGTAGCACTCAATATGGAAACATTTACTCCTTATGAAGATTGGTCTTCTCAGTCAGCACTTGGCATTGCGTCCAGACCACCAAACGATTAACCTTCTCAGATAAAGGAGGAAAATGCAAATTAAGAGTTTCTTTAACCAGAAATACCCTTAAGACAAACCATGTGATTTACTTATTACAAGGTTTAAAATCTCTCATTAACAATTTTTAAAAGGGAGGATTATGCAAATCCAAAAGGTTTACTTTTTTTTAATTTATTTTTAAAGATTTTATTTATTTATTTGACACAAAGAGAAATCACAAGTAGACAGAGAGGCAGGCAGAGAGAGAAGGGGAAGCAGGCTCCCCGCTAAGCAGAGAGCCCGATGTAGGGCTCTATCCAAGGACCCTGACATCACGACCTGAGCCGAAGGCAGAGGCTTAACCCACTGAGCCACCCAGGTGCCCCAGTAAGGTTTACTTTTGACATTTCTTCGCTATTAATGTAAAATAGGTCCCAGAAATATTGCACTAAATGGAGCCTTCTAAAACCATCCAAGTGATATCTGCTCAGGTAAATTTCTCTCTGAACGGGTCCTATTATATTAAAGTCTCTAAAGTCTTTAGAATTAAGATTTTATTTTTTCCCCCTGAAACTGAAAAGGGAAGCCTGCTTCCCCCTCTCTCTCTGCCTGCCTCTCTGCCTACTTGTGATCTCTGTCTGTCAAATAAATAAATAAAATCTTTTTAAAAAAAGAAAAAAGAAGAAAGCTTTTTTCCCTAATGACTGTGGAGTGGTGAAATTTAAGTGTGAATCAACAGACATTTGAAAGAGAAGTCTTTTAGGGGTGCCTGGGTGGCTCAGTGGGTTAAAGCCTCTGCCTTCAGCTCAAGTCATGATCCCAGGGTCCTGGGATCAAGCCCCGCATCGGGCTCTCTGCTCAGCGGGGAGCCTGTTTCTCTGCCTACTTGTGCTGTCAAATAAATAAATAAAATCTTCAAAAAAAAGGAAGCATGTTTATTGTTTGATGTTTTCTTCCTTAACTTTAGGACCCTGAGAGAAGCCACTTTGTTCTAATTGCTGGGGAGCCACTAAGAGAACCAGTTGTCCAACATGGTAAGCCCCAAAGCAATTTTCCTGTTGATTTTCTTTTTCTTTGAAAGTAGTATGCATAGATAGTATTACAGGGAGGAGTGGCTGGATTTTTGTCTTCTTTACCTACAAATTCGAGGATTTTGTTTCATTGTGCCATCATCAGAGGAAAATATATACGTGGCATTTATTTCTATATTCATTGTCTCCTTCTTTTAAAGGAATAATATCTATTACCTGTAGGACATTGAATATCAAACTATGGGGAAACAGAAATAGTGTTTTGCATTTTGTCACAGGGAACTTGAACTTACAGAAAGGTTTTGTGGCCTGCTGCTTGAATATCGTTTTTATCTTTATCAAAAACAGCAGTGATTTCAATACTGTTTGTAGTCCATTGTATTTTTAGTGAAAAACGGGTACCTCTTAAGAATATTTCTTTAGCAGTTTCTTAAATATCTGAGTCACTCCTTCTTTGTTTAAAAAACGAAAATGAATAGAGGGAACGGTGGTATCGTAGGACTAAGACTTTAGTTGGACGCAGAAACTCCTGGAATAAGGACCTACTCACTTTACTTTGTCTTGACTTCCTCATAATATTGTTGTTTTATTAAATGAAGAGCATCTAAAAACAGCTGGAATCCACCTTCATATTCATTTTTATTAAGAAATTTTTTGCCAACTTACTTAGATAAATGCCTATAAAACATGAGTCTACCTATCTGATTATGAAATTTGGCATGCCTTAAAATCCCATCGTATCAGCTTGCCTTGCATGAATTCCCAGGTATACACAATGAGAAAAACCCAGCTGATCATACATTTCAAGAACAACGTACTATTTTAAAAAGATTCTTTTTTTGTTCTATTAATAACTTCAGGGGAAAACATGAAGTTAATACTCTACCTAGCCGATAGCAGTTGACCTCCATTTTGCATGCTTCCGTTTCCACTCCAAAGGTCCATGGTTCTTGTTGCCTTTCGTCTTGAATGAAGAGCACTGAAATGGTTTGTTGTTCTAGAAGAAGCCTGAAGACAGATCGTAAAGGATCATAATCTTTATTCATAGTGGCTAGAATTTAGGTGGGGAAAGGAAGTGTGGGATGTAAGTCTTTTGAGTTTAATAATCGCCTCTGCACCGAGGATGAGAAATGAGAGTCCGACCAGATTAGGTAACCGAAAGGGAGGGTCTGCTCGAGGCCACCGTCCATCTGTGTTACGGAAATCCTTTCTCGGAGGCTTAGGTCTTGAGAATACTGCATAACTAAGCCCGCACCTTCAAACTCAGATTAACCAGACAAGATAGATAAGTCCCTTGACATCTCAGTTAATGAAAGGTGCAAAGCATTTTATTTCATTTGTTTATTGTAGTTTTTTGGGGTTTTTTTGTTTGTTTGTTTTTGCTTACTTTTTAAACCCTAGAAAGTTTTTCTCTTACCCTTGTATGTTAAAGACAGCCACAACCATCTCTTGGCTGCTTGGGAACCGTACCAATTTAATGAACTAGCTTAGCAGAGATTGTCCGTAATGATATGCTACAAATTAAGCATGGACCACCACAGAATGTTGAAATAGGAAATGTCCTTAACATCGATGTAGTCATGTCCCTTTTTATAGATGAGGAAAATGAAATCAATATATTTTATTTATTTACATAACAGATAATTGGGTAGTATTTATCATTACTATGAAGGGTCAAAGTGCTTTCCATCTATTACTTCATTTAATCTTCAGAACAAACTTATGAGGTTGGTACTCTCATCCCCATTTTACAGATGAGGAAGTGGAGGTACAGAGGTTCATTGGCTTGCCCACCACCACATAGCTGGATTCACAGTCGGGCTGTCTGATTTCCAGCCACCCTGCCCTTCTGCTTCTCACCGTGTTGGGGTGACCCCTGCTCTGCCCTGTGGCTTCTCTGATGGGAAGCGATGATTAACAGTGGAGCTGGGATACGAACCCTAGTCTTCTGCCCCCCTGCTTTGTGCTCTCCACTGTACTAGGGGGTTCTACCTAATGAGAGCTTGAACTCACACCATTTTTATTACCCAGGAGGGAGTGTAAAGGTTTAACTAGAGAAAAGATGAAACCTGTAGTTTGAAAGAGTATTTATGAAATAATTGATAACTATCAAATAATTTTTCTTATTTTTAACCCTTATAGTTGATCAGTTATAAAACATACACTTTCTGGGGGATGTAATGTACAGCTTGATGATTACAGTTAATAATACTATAGAGCCTATTTGAAAGTTGCTAAGGGAATAGATCTTAAAAGTTGTCATCACCAGACTGCGGTACCTGGATGGCTCAGTCAGTTAAGTGTTTGACTCTTGGTTTCGGCTCAGCTCATGATCTCAGGGTCATGAGATGGAACTCTGTATCAGGCTCTGCACTGGGCATGGAACCTGCTTAAGATTCCATTCTTAAGATTCTTAAGAAAAACAAAACATGCTTTCTGGGTTTAGTTTTCTTCTTCATCTTAAGGATTTGAGGAGACAAGCTTCCTCAGCTCGGCTTTGGGGGGCTCCAAACTTCCAGTGCTTCCTCTGTTTCCCAAAGTGTGGTCCACGGACCAGCAGTATCTGCATGACCGGAAAAACAGTGAGAAATGCAGTTTCGGACTCCACTCTAGATCCCTGAAACAGAATTTCAATAAGATTCCCAGGTGGTTCACGTGCACATTAGAAATTGAGAAGCAGAACATCGTACTGTACAAATGTGTCGAAATGGAAGCTGAGAAGTGCACCATTTTTTCAGGAAAGTAATCAGGAGATGGGAGAAGTGCTCCACAAATCCAAACTGTAGCGATATTATGACATGCAAGAAGTTGGTCCTTGGCCCAGGATCTGCTCTCATTTTGAGTTCCATTTCCCTTTCTTCTATGTGTCTTTTAGAAGCGTATGTCCCCAAGTCGCCCTCTTGGATTGATTTTGCATATGAGATCTCTGTCGTCATTCTTCCCTACCTGAGAGAGTCCAGTTCTCTGTCTCCAGATGAAATTTCTCTCATGAGCCCCAGATCCGTGTTTCCAACAACACACCCAGCACCCCTGCCAGGAAGCCATTGTCGTCTCTCCAGTTCCTTCCTGTCAGCATAGCCAGAGCTGGCTTTCTTGTCCTACCCACACCCTCCTGTGTCTGGGATCTCAGCTGCCCTTAACAGTTGTACCATTTACTCAGCCTCCCAGGCCAGACCCCTTCTCTACCCTGGTGCCAGAGTCTGAAAAACTAGAAATCAGATCACGTTACTGTCTACTTAACCCTTTGGTGACTGTTGATCATCTGCAGAATTATGCCCAAACTTCTTCCCATAGACCACACCCAAATCCCACAGGGGTCTGGCCTCTTCTGGCAAGGCAGGCCCCTTATTTCTTTCCTGCTTCAATCTCTCCTTCCAGCACTGTGCCCCTGTCCTCGGTTCTTCCACTTTTACCAAAACTCAAGTTCAAACCTAAGAATTAGACAAAGGCGTCAACAGGGTGTGACCCATGGACCAAATCTGCCCATTGTGTATTTTTGTAAATAAAGTTTTATTGTAACACAGCCGTCCCTATTTGCTTTCATACGGTCTGTGTCTACTCTTACGCTTCAACAGAAGATTTGAGTAGTGGAGACAGACACTGTTTGACCCCCAAGATCTAAAATACATACTGTCTGGTCCTTTACAGAAGAGGTTTGCCAACCCCTAGAGAATCCAAAACATGATGGCTTCTTGACTCAATGTTTGTAATCTCCTGTTTATGGCCAATGAGTTGCTGCTAATTTTCAAAAATGACTCAAACCCTTCATGTAAGCTCACAGCCTTATTTGCCACGTACACATCCAAACTACGACATTGCCATTTCTTGGCATCAGATGGGTTCAGTTCTTGACATCGACTGCTGCTATCAAACTAACAACGACAGGAAATCTTAAAAGTTCCCACCATAAGGAAAAACAATTCTCTGTGTGTGGTGACAGCTGTTAACCAGACTTACTGGGCTGATCATTTTGCAGTATATACAAATATTAAATCATTACTTGTCCACCTGAAACTCCACCTGAAAATACAACATAATGTTGCATGTCAATTACCCCTCATTTAAAAAAAAAAAAGAGAGAGAAATACCTCACAACTCTCAAAATCCTTGTAATGGAACCAAGCCCAAGAATGTTTTGAATGAAGAGATTGCAACAGTGGCTGAGTGGGAGGCAATCATTTATCTGATTTGTTTATCTGAAGTCTGGTCTTTGTAATCCTTCACGATCCTAGTCAAGAAACTTGTATTACATTCCTCAGGGACTGAACGCTGCGGAAAAAAGCCTTTTACTGCTCACATATGCCTGGATTGGTTTCAGGTTAAGGACTCCAGAAATACATACCATTTCTAGTGATAAAATATTATTGTCAACCAGAACTTTGTGAACGTCTCTTTCTGCCGTAGGTCCATTTGTGATGAACACCAATGAAGAGATTTCTCAGGCCATTCTTGATTTTAGAAATGCAAAAAATGGGTTTGAAAGAGCCAAAACCTGGAAATCAAAGATTGGAAACCAGTGAAGAGCCCAGGAGCAGATCTCCGTGCTTTCTAGAATTTTGCCAGTGGTGGCATCCGTCCGTTCAGCACATTGGAGTTTCCAGAGTTGACTGAGCCTATGCTTCTAATGAATTCTACCCTGAAGTGATAACACAGTTTTTATAGCAACGCACATGAGTATTTCCTGCTACATGCAAATAAACCTAATTGTTGCTTCTTTAAAAATCAGTGTCCTTCATTTTGATCTAAGTTATTAGGTTTCTGTTTTAAAAAATCATTTCATGTATTGTTTCCCTTTTTGTGTGTGTCTGAATGTTTTGTGATTTTTGCTCACGGGTGAGTTTTGTGAGCATATGTGATTGCTTTCTGTCTGTCCCTGGCAGTCGATGTGTGGGTATCTGAGGTCCCTTCCCGAGCAATGCAGTTTCCATGCAACGTTCATGCCTGTGCTCTGGGGTTTCACGTTACAGGTTATCTGCGTTAAAATAACAGCAGTCCTGACGGTTTGAGTCAGTTTTCAAAACTGCCCTGCTATTGGTAGGGACGCGACAGGATTACAGCCAAGACTTCCCTGCATTTTCTGCCAAAATCTCTGTCAGATTTCAGACACATGCTTCCGCAACCTCCCATAAGGGTTGTGAAAAAAGTTTGAATCCAGAATTGGGTTCCAGCCTTCTGCCGTGGCCACACCACCTCTTCACAAAGCAACTAGAACCTGGGGCATAGGGTGGAGAGTTTGTTTGTTTGTTTGTTTTAATTTGCTGGATGTGAAGTGAATTGCGAGTGCTTTTTCATGTCAAGGGCAAGTCATATGCACCTCCTGATTATTTTTGGAGCATGAGACCATTTAGATTTTTTTTTTCAAGTCTCTCCCCACATAAGATTGAGCAAAAATGTTCCTTGACTAATTGAAGTCATTTCATTGGATTTTGATCACAACTGATTATTTGTGTTTTTCCATGTGTCTTGGGGTTTCGAACTTTCCTTCTGGAGAATGCCTTTTGAAACAGTTTGCTCTCGCTGCCTGATGTCAACTGCTTCGTAATCAGTGGATATTAAAATACTCAAAATGTACAGACAGTGGGCCGTGCTGAATGTTTTCATGATGTCTTCTCTGCAGTTGGTGCAGGGTTCCAGTTATGAACATGGACCAGTGAAGGTAGGTGTCTTAATTTTTAGTGTGATGCAGTTTTCTTATGGCTTATACAGAGGACTTTCTTTCTTTGCCCCCAATTTTCCAGACAATATTAAAATACAGAACACTCCTAGTAGCAGACCAGAGATATCTTTCATTGGTTAACGAGTGTTCTGGTTCTTAGGCTTACTAAGAATCTTGCCATGCATGTTGGAAAATGCTGTTGTTGTTGTTTTTTTAAATTTTGGAGCTGTAATAGAACATGAATGAGCCTTCTAGACACTTTTCAGATGGATAAGTTTTGCCTCAATTATATATGCAGATGGCACAGTGATTTTCTAATGAAGCACTGATTTGTTTTTGTGACGAGGATAACTGTGTGGGCCATTTATTCATGTTGTTTGTAAGCAGCAAACGTTAGTTTGGTTACTTTAGTTAATTTCTTTCGTAAATTGCAAAGTGCAGTACTTTATCCAAATGGTTTCTATCTGGTTTTCTAAAATACCCATTGCTACCATCTA